TATTCAGAAAATATACTTATCATGCAAGAAATGAACATCAAAGGCAGGTCTTGCAGTGATTTTTCACTTTATACATCAAAGGCTTAGCAATTGAAATTTTCTTCAAAATCGTGCAGTTCTGCCAATGCTCTGAGCTTTATTACTTCCCAGATTAGTAATTCTTCCCAAAAATTGAGAAGCTATTGCCTCTTCCTAATTGAGAAAAACCACTGCACTGTCAAGAATGATTGCTTGAGTAAGGATATTTATTTTTGATATTTATGATAGTGAAGTTTTGGAGGTAGTTGAGAGGACACTCTTTCTTTAATATATAGTAAGGATATTGTTGAGAGGACACTCTTACTTTAATATATACAATGTAGTTAGGTTATTGTTTAACACTATCCACTGTGTTTATTGTCAAATTTTGCAAGCGCTTTACAAAGTTGTAAACAATTGAACGATAGAGTGATCGTAAAAATCAAGTGCCGCTATAAATTTCATGGCACATCGGTGAGATTAATTTTGGAGTTATAAGGCACAGTGGGAGCGTGGTGCTTGAAGCGCCTGGGGAAAGGCCTGCTGTTAGTAGAGAATTTAGACTAGGTGTTTGGATTAGGATTAGTTCACTAATGACTATTCCTGTCTTACTCCAAACGTAATCTTTGTATTTGAAGATTTTTTCTATAATTTTTTATGAACTAACGTATGCATGTATGCAGGGGGACAATTATAATTAACAAAATAAATTTGTAGCCCTATTGGCTGAACAAAGGGAAAGAACAACAAGGAAAAATACTTGCTTGTAAAAAATTTATTTTTCTTCATCACAGAATAAACATATATTTTGTCACATAGTTTTACTATGCAAGGCATGATCAATATCAAGTTATTACTTTTATCATGTAATATGTTTGTTTCAATGTAAAGTTTCAGGTTTCATGTAAAATTCAAGAATCAACAAAAGGTACAACCAACTTAGTAAGCAAGACATAGTTATTGAACATTTATAGACAAACTTCTCAAAATTGTTAATCTTGTAATCTATACTGAATTAAAACTAGAAATGTGTCCATAGGACACGGATGCCCCCACATGCCACTGTTCTGTCAATCTTATGACTCTAGGTCAAATATTTTTTGGACTACGTGTGCAACAAGTTGAAAACTAAAAATCAACAAAGGGCCATAATTCTGTTAAATTTGGTCGCAGCAAAAATTCCTTCCTTTAATACCATCTACACATTAAGGTTGTTCATCTCTGTAAGTTTAAGCAAAATCTGCCATCCGGTTTAGGAGGAGTTGCGTTCACAAGATTTCGGGACGTACAGACGGACTGACGGACGGACAAGTGCAACGCTATATGCTCCCACATTGTGGGGGCATAAAAAGATAACTTATTATTTGTTGCTCATTGAATAATAATTCAACATTTCCTTCTGACAGCTGTTGCTGAATATTGTATCCCCTTGGTTTGATAAGATAACTTAATCCAGTAGGGGCATTGACTGTTAAAAGAAAACCACAGAGAAGTCATTACTCTGTATTAATGTGTTTAACCTATAAAGATATCCCATAAAAAGCATTTCTTACACCAAGTGTTGGTTCAAACTTTATATTATATTTTCATTGCAAAACTTCAAAAACTTTATGGTAACTAGGCATTTTTGGAATGAAATGGAAACTTTTTGCTGGAATCCAATATTTTCATAAAGGATTCATAGTTTGGCTGGAAGCCAATATTTTTATAAGAAATGCCTCTTGAAAAAAAAAATAAAAGAAGCATATAAAAAAGAACATTAATGTGTTACTGTTCTGAAGCTCATGTCTTAAATTCAACAGCTCTAAGATAAATTCATTAGGTACTTGGTAGATAAAGTTAACAAACCCACTCAAAATCAACTAACTAAACATTTTTATAATTTCCAACATGATACTGAATAAATTTAAAATAATTTACACTTTTGACATACACTTTCATAAAACAGACATTTGTATGAATGCTATAGTAACAATAATGTATTATCATATTACTGCAGAATGCAAACCTTTACCAATAACTTTGGTGTTTCCAAGTTTCTGTTACGCCTGAAGTAATCAAGGAGGCCATCAGGGCCGGCAAAATCTAAGTTTGACTTACTTGTCTGTTTTTTCTCTATCATTTTTATTTGTTTGGGTCGTCAGACCAAACAAATAATGGTAGCGAAATGTCAGACTCTAATGCTGTTAATTGCAAGTGCCGAAAGTAGTCCCCTTTTTTGAAACGGTTACTTCCCTTTATATGTTACACATAGGCCGAAAAAATTTAGGGGAGATCACTGCGTAAATATGGTCACATGACAGGCGGATTAAATTTCAAGCAAAATAATTCCCGAATGGTCGAATATTTCTAATATTGTTTTATTCTTTATAGATATACATGCTTATGGTAAGCGCCATGATTATTTACACAAGTGTTATATAACAGTTAGCGTCGTTACAAACCCTAACTAGAATAATATGGTTTTCTTCAGGCCATTAACTATAAATTCACCGTGGCCGAGTGGTTTACACGCTCGCTTAGGAAGTGAGAGGTCTGGAGTTCAAATCCAAGTTAAGGCAAATCTTTTTTTTTCAAATTGTTTAGGTCAAATAAACATTACATGGATCGAATATCAGTGTTGCAATTAGTCTTATAGCCAATCTACTATAATTAAAACGCTGGAAAGTATTGGTGGCACTATACAAAAACAAATTGTTTTATAATCTCACAACCTTCACCTTTCTGACATTTTGAGACCCAAACAAATTCAGCGCCTTCTGTGCTTTGATTTTTCTTGTCCATATGATATTTGTAAAGTATATTCTTGATACACACAGGCTGGTGGACAACCTTGTCAGTATGGACAATTAATTTTGCCGCCCAAGGCCATGATTGCTAACCTAAGTGATCACTGGCAATCCTGTTGAGTGTTCTGGTGAACACAATGGACAACTTTATGATGAAAAGTGGAAAAAAATCATTCATTTGATATAAACAGTGTAACTACAAATCATAAAATGACTTATTTGAAAATAAACAAATTAAATTTTTTACCCCAAAATTTTTTTTTAAACTAAGTTTAGTGAAACAAAATGAACCAAACTTTATGCTTTTTTTTCATTAGGAAGAAAAAATAGTAATTTTTTATGAGATTTTTTAAAAATTTTTTTTTTCCCCTTAACCCCAATTAGTGACCCTTAAATTTTTGATTTCCCAAAACAAAATGTATGAATTTTATCTGTTTTTGAATATAAAAAAAAAAAATAAAAAAGATCCCATCTGAAAATTTTGACCATGGGTATTTACAACCCAAAGGGGGGTGACATACACCCAAATTATCATTTTTTAACATATGTTGAAATAATGATACCCATAAAAAAAACCCGGGACCCCCCTGCAATTTTTTCTTTTGTTGTAAACCACTTTAAAACAGGGATGCCCCCCAGATTTAATTTAATTCTTACATAAACTTGATATGTCAAATTTTGTTCATAGCATATACTCAAAAATTTTGGCCGATTGTGAATACATTAGTATGTATACATTTCTAAAAAGCTTGTTATAATTAAAGTTATATTTTTTAAAGATTCATCTCACTTCAAGTAGCCTACATATTTCTTATGGTTAAATATGTTATTTTTAGATAAATCATTTCATATAATTGTCAAATCAAAAGAATAAAGGTGGGAAATGAAATTTCCCGAAGATAAAATACATAAACATCAAAGAAATCCCACGATACCTCTAATCTACAGGTCCGGTCTCTATATAAAATTTGTAAAGTAGACAATTTGTTTCAAGGTCTTCCATTTTTAGAAACAAACGACACTTGTCGCATTATAAATAGCTCGTGTGAGGCTGTTTTGAAAAAGGCTTACAGTTATATGATGCACTTTTCCAAGATAAAATTAATAAAATACTTAGTTTGAATCAACACAGAAATGTGGAAATGTGTTTCCAACAGAAAATAAAAGCACATTGCCATTCTATCTGGAGGCATGCTATTTTAAATGCATTGGAAAGTTTATAAATAGCCATGATTTCAAATATATACATTCAAATATGTAAAAAAATCTTTTTACTTTTTCACAGAAAAAAATCTTATCTTACCCTTTAAAAGGGTAAAGGCAGTTTGTGAACAAAAAAATAATTTACACTGTAATCATTGTGTGTAAGTTTTTAAATTAATTATCATACAAAAAACTTGAATATATTAGTATACATAAAGAAATATCATGATGTTTAACACGGGAGTTTAAATGTAAAACGCCAACTGTCATAATTATGGAACATCTTTATCTAGATCACACGTAACCTGAACTGGTATTTTAAAGGAGCTCGAAAAACCTAAAAACAAAAAGCTTGAATTTTTACACAGATAAGCTAGGGCACGTAAAGCAGAAAAATATGCAAATGATAGTTAAGAAAGAAACTCAAAAATAAATTGAAAACCTTATTTTTGTGATAATGGTTTGAGTGAAAAGCGTCGCAACGCCTTTTAATTTTGGGCCATATTTCACAATTATTCTGGAAAAACGGAGTTCACGAATGGTCTGAAAGTTTGCACATAAGTTATTGGTCTAGACCAACATCAAATGGAACATTTATCTCGAAAAATTATTTTCAGTCACATCATGTCAAAAAACCTCAGTGGAGTCCCTTTAAATACAGTTAGACATTTACATAACAACCAGTCTTTTGTTTTAAAAGAAAGCTTAAAACATGATATTACTGTAAAGAAACTATTTAATCTTCATGACCATGACCTTCACCTTAATGAACTGAAACCACTACCAATGGTAACGGTTTTATATAAGTCACCAACACTCTTAATATTAAAGATACTAGTCAATAAATAATGTTGGTTTCAGCATGTGTTAGTGAGAGAAAGAAAAACAAACTACAATTTTATATATCAGAACCTCGTTTTAACGTGGTGTTGAGGCCTTGGACACAAATAACTTGTACATGTTATATGAGAAAAAGTGTTACAGTCAGAAGGACATAGTAGCAACTGTGCATATTAAAAATTTGAAAAAAAAACAATCCTAACAAATAAATTTTAGTATTTTAATTGTTCAAATGTAAGTTTTGAATTTAAGGCCATTCCTAAAAAGGTTATTTTGTTGTTCATAATTAAAAGTGGCCTTTACCAAATTTACCTATTGAAGGTGGCCTGAAACCACAGTAATTTATTGAAAGTGGCTTTTAACCACAGTGTTAGACTGTATGCGTGTAGTTTTAACATGTACAACTAAGGAACATATTGTATATATAAATATAACAATGGCTAAGATAGAGGCCTTCATCAACAGCCTTGTGCTCTTAATTCTTCCTCGACAATCTGTTTGTACTGTGGGAACCCGCCCTCTAATGACACCACCTTCTTGTCTCGAACCACCCAGAGTTCTTCGCACACCATCTTTATAAGACGCTCGTCGTGAGATACCAGAATAACTCCTCCCTAAAATTGATGAAATCAAGTTACATAGCAGGTGTAATTATCAGATAATTCGAGAATTTCTTGGCCTAACTTTAATGAAAACAATTTTTCACCATCAAAAACTTTCCAGCTATTGAAAGACTATTGATATACAGAGGATATTTTGCTTGTTTGTTTTGAATGGATATGCTGTAAACAGTATCACACTGAATAGTGAGAAAATTGTTGTATTTTCACCAGTCCAAGTGAAATTGTGGATATTATCTCACTTGTAGCATATTCATGAAAAAAAAAAACAACAATTTTTCTTTGTGTTTTATGCATTTAAGTATCGTAAGAGCAATTTTTTCGACTGTTTTCATTGAAGCATGGAAAAAAATAAACATATATAAAGATGATGTCTTAAGTTCAGCACCTACACACACCATGTGCAATCAAAGGTAATTGAAGATTGTTGTCATTATTGAGGTGTAACATTAAACAATATTAGTTAAATAATGCAAATTGAATTGAGAAATATGCCATTTAAAACAAAATTGCAACAATAAACTTTTACGTAAATTTACAAATTTACGAAGTCATAAAACTTACAACATACAGACTATTAAGTTCGGCAGAGTTATATCACCCAGACTGTGGATGATATACTGTGGTGATATGAATTTTATCACACAGATAAAATCCAGTTTCACACTGGTAAGCATAAAACTCGAAATGTGTCCATAGGACACGGTGCCCCCAAACTCACTGTTTTGTCAATCTTATGACTCTAGGTCAAATATTTTTGGGCTACATGTGCCACAAGTTGAAAACTAAATATCTTTTACTAAGTAAAGGGCAAGACCTTTACAAATACTGGGGAACCCAAGGACCATAACTACACATGCTGACCAACATTCCTGTTAAGTTTCATGACTCTAGGTTAAACACATTTTGAGCTATGCACAACACAAATTGAAAATTTTCACTAAGTCAAGGGCAATAACTCTGACAAAACATAAATTCACAAGCGAAACTAAGTCAAGGGAAATAGTCTGACAAAAAATAAAGTCAACGAAACCAGGGCAAAATTTTACAGCTGATAAACTTCCCTGAAAATTTTTCAGGGACCTACTAAAAATTTTTGGCTACATGTGACAAATTTTAAAAATCAAATTTATCAAAAAGGAAAAACTTAAAATATTAAAAAAACCCCCAAAAAACCCCGGTGCACAACAACACACTAATAAACTTCTGAAAATTTTATGACCTGGGTCAAATTTTTTTTGCTACGCTTGACAAAATTAAAAATTCAAATTTTTATAATAAAGGGGAAATAATCTGACAAAACAAAAAATCCACCGAAACAATAGGTGCAAAAATTTCACGCGATCAACATCCCTTAATTTTTTTGACTCAGGTCAAATACTTTTTGAAATAGGTGTGACACACATTGAAAATTGTAAATGTTTACTAAGTTAAGGGCAATAACTCTAAAAATACTGAAATAAATCCACAAAAATACCCAGGTGCACAACTACATATGCTGATCAACATTCCTGTAAAATTTCATGACCCTAGGTCAAAAACTTTTTGAGCTACATGCAGCACAAGTTGAAAATTGCAAATTTTACTAAATCAAGGGCAATAACTCCAACAAATCAGAATAAATCCACCAGCAAAACCCCAGGTGCACAACTTCACATGTTGAGTAACATTCCTGTAAGGGTTCATGACTCTAGGTCAAATACTTTTTGAGTTATATGCCACACAAGTTGATAATTGCAAATTTTTACTAAGTCAAGGGCAATAACTCTAAACATACAAAATAAATCCACATGAAAATACCCAGTTGCCCAACTTCACATGCTGATCAACATTCCTGTAAAGTTTCATGACCCTAGGTCAAATACTTTTTGAGGTATGTGCGACACAAAATGAGAATGGACTGACGGAAGGACGGAAACGCCAAAACAATATCCCCCTTCCAATGTCATCGGCGGGGCATAATAACAAAGGACTAATATATACATGTATATGTACACCACTTGCTTTGCGAGTGAAGATAAAGTTAGTTTTCTTTTTATCAAGTAGATATTTTCTTCTATGTTATATTGATTTAAATAGCATAATGTTAAACCAGCCCTATGTAAACATTTTATTTATACCTATATAAAGTTTAACAATTTAGTATTGATTATGATAAACTTTGGATAATTTTTCAACAGATTAAGTTAGACTGTGTGCAAAGAGGTATAAGGGCACCTTTGATAAGTTTAACCAAAAGTAGGTCAAATCATTTAAACATTATTTAGCAATAGGAGAGGATTTATATCAATGAAAAAAATATTATGTAGAAATTGATATTTTTCCAGGAGTACAATGTAGAAGATACTTAAGGCCTTCAGTTATCTTAATTATAGAGTATATCAATGTTTAGATTTAAAATAACTGTGAAAGAAACAGAGACAATTTTATTGATTTTGCAATGTAAATAGATCAACGTTGTCGGGAAAAAGACAAAATGGCTACAGGTCGACAATTTGATACGGATACTCTTTCGGATGAAATATTTGACGTATTATGTTCAATGTGTAGAAATGAAGGCAGGAACACTGAAGGTGAAAAATACTGTGTAGATTGTCACGATTATTTCTGTGTTAGTTGTGTCAAAGTTCACAGTAAAGTGCCTTTATGTGCTGATCACAAGGTATTGGATAAATCTCAGGTTAAGTCAGGAGCCAGCAAAGCTATGACGATGGCACCAGCAGAGACATGTGACATGCACAGTCATAAACACATTGATATGTACTGTCAGAACCATGATAATGTTGGCTGTTCTACATGTATGGCAGTTGATCACAGGTAAACTATAGTATTTAAACAAATATTTTTTAAGTAAGTATATGGAATGTTTAGTAGGTACTTTACATAATATTCTTAGACTATCTTAAATATATTACACTACATAAAATATCATCTCCTCTGTCATCTCATAGCCCCAAAAATTGTTTGAACTTATTTTTCAGATTATGTAAGGACACATTCTACATACCAGAATTTATCAAAAACAATACTTACCAAGTCAATTCGAGAGACATTCAAACAAAACTCAAGGAAATAGCCAAGACCCTTGAAAAACAAGCTGATAGATTTAAACAGGATAAACAAAGGCTATTAAAGAGGAAAGCAGAAATACTGGCTGATATCAGAAAATTCCGTCAAGAAATCAATGACCATCTTGACAAGCTGGAGAAAAGTTCTATAGATGAGATAGAAAGTAAAGTCAAATGTCTTGAAGACAAAATCGAAGATGTTTTAAAACAGCTACAAGCAAACAAGTCCAGGATTAGATCAGCTAATGATAAGTTAGCATCTACAAACACAAGTCATCCTGAAGTGTTTGTTTATGTGAAAATGGGAGAAGATGCTGCAAATGTTGCCAACAAATATATCGAGCATGCCAAAATAAAAAATATAGTAGAAGACATAGAGTTTCAACCTGACAGAACAATTCTTACACAGTTAGAACAAAAGAAGACCATATGCATTCTATCAGAGAAACCTACAATGACTGCTGACAATTTATTTCAGATTAAAGGTAATCAATCATATAATGTAAAAGTTAAGTCAGATAAAAAAGATTGTTATATCAGGACTGCCTGCTGTATGGAAGATGGAACAATAATTCTAGCTGATTTAGAAAACATGAAACTTAAACGGTTACACAGTTACAACTATACTGTCACAGACTACTGTGACCTACCTGAAAGGCCATATCAAGTGTGCATGATCAATAACACACAAGTAGCAGTAACTATTCCATCAACACAGGAAGTTCAATTCATTTCTCTAGAACGAAAAATGAAAACAACAAACAAGATATACACCGATTATAAATGTGTTTGTCTTGCATATGCAAACAATAATTTATATATCTCAGATGATTCCTCAGAAGTATATATCTATACATTGTCAGGTAGGAAAATTAATCAGTTCAGTGGACATAAGCTGTTCTCTGGCATAGGCAGTCTAGCTATCAGTAAGGATGCTACTAGGATTTATGTTGCTGGCAATGATAATGGACTGATAGTACTAGACAACAATGGTCAGATTATTACATCATTCAATGGTGAACAATTAGATTGGGCTGGATGTTGTTATCTCACTGAAGCAGGTAGTGTGCTGGTATCTGGACATTTCTCCAATAATATTTTACAGTTTACTTGTGATGGTGAGTTTATAGGAGAGGTTGTAAAAGCTGATAGTGGAAAAGATATAGAGTCAGTCTGTTGTAATCAACAAATGACAAAGATATGTATAAGTAGATATACAGATGACAATATTGAAGTGTTTGACATCTAATCAGTAAAACAAATGATTCACAAAAGAAAAATAAACATGTTTTTAAATATATGCCTTTCTCTCAAAATGTATGCAAAGAGTATAACATGTTTTATCAATTATAGGTGATAATTTCTTTTGGAATTCCCATTTTTGAATGCATCTGGTTTAATTGTTATTTGTTGTATTACAAAAAAAACAACTACTAAACTGTTTGAAAAATATGAAACTTGAAATGTGTCCATAGGACACGGGTGCTCCCACACTCCAGTTTTGTCAATTTATGACTCTAGGTCAAATATTTTTTGGCTACATGTGCCACAAGTTGAAAACTAAAAATCTTTTACTAAGTAAATCCACAAGCGAACAAGTACACATGTTGACCAACATTCTTGTAATCTTTCAAGCTTACAGGTCAAATACTTTTTGAGCTATGCATGAACAAGTTAAAAATTGCAAATTTATACTACTGTAAGTGAAGGGCAATAACTCTAACAAAACTGAAAAAAATCCACATGCAAAGTCCCAGGTGCATAGCTTAACAGTGATGTTGATCATTATTCCTGTAAAGTTGGTTGGTTCTAACTCAAGCATTCAATGATCAAATAACACAACATAATAAACAGTTTTTACAAAGTCAAGGGCAATAACTCTACAAATTTTGGATAAATCCACAATAACCCAAGGTGCACAACTACACATGATGACCAACATTCCTGTTAAGTTTCATGACTCCAGGTTAAATACTTTTTGAGCTATGCATGACACAAATTGAAAATTGTAAATTTTCACTAAGTCAAGGGCAGTATCTCTGACAATACATATAAATTCACAATCAAAACCCCAGGTGCACAACTTCACATGCTGAGCATCATTCCTGTAAGGTTTCATGACTCTAGGTCAAATATTTTTCAGTTATGTGCAACACAATTTGAAACCTGCAAATTTTTGTTAAGTCAAGGGCAATAATTCTAAAAAAACTAAATAAATCCACATGAAAATACCCAGGTGCATGACTACACATGCTGATCAACATTCCTGTAAAGTTTCATGACTCTTGGTCAAATACTTTTTGAGCTACTAAAACACAAAGGAGGAGGCACAACAAATAAATTTAATATTTCAAACATTTGTGATCAGCCTTGGCCACAAGAATAAAGCTAGAACAGCCTATTTATCTGTTCAGACGGACCCCAGAAGCTCTTACTATTTTTACCTGATTTTTTTGTCTATTTTTATATAAAAATCCCGTAAACTTTGAACCACCTGTTCCAGATTTTAATCCAGGCTAATTCATTGCACAAATTCAGCATGTTATTAGTATCAAGGACATATACTTACAGCAAATTTCTTGAGAGCAAAACCGAGTGCTTCTATCGTCTCCATGTCTAAGTGATTGGTAGGTTCATCAAGGATGAAGAAATTTGGACTGAAACAAACAAATATTATTTCATTTTCTTTTTGTTTATCCATTAGCACAAAAACAAGCATTATGCTGGGGCTGGCAACTTAAGTTGCAATTTCACAAAAGTTGTCCAAACTAGCGTTTATTATGGGCACCTGACATTCCGTAAGTAGCTGGATACCTTCCTTACATGAAAGAATCCAAAGTCCATGGTGGGATTTGAACCAAGAGCGGAAAGGGGCAAGTGGTTTTAAGTCAACAACCTTAACCACTCGGCCACAGATGCCCCAACAAGCTATAATAAACCTGACAAAATTGATATTATTTAGTTAACTCTTCTTAATCGCTAAAACCAGTCTAAAGTTTGACTATTCTGAGGTTATCAGTGGAACAGGTTTGACTGCCACATGTTGTTTGATTTAAGAATACAATATGTTAACTTAACAAAGACTGACAGAAAGACATGTGGTCTGAACACCAGATTCGATACTGTACTAATCATAGGATTAGCTTTTATGATACAGTAAAATACTCTACAGGGCAGCAGCCTTTTGTACAGCAATAACGTATTCACAACAAAAATATCATTCCTTTTTATAAGTAAAACATTACTCTACATTTAACCTCTTTAAAGCAACACCTCACAATCTCAGCAACAATAATTTTTTTAGTGTCGTGAAAGGTGTTACTCTGCCGAAGTTGTACTGTACACAAACTTACTTGGTCATACTCATGACTGCAAAAGCCACTCGGCTCTTCTGACCTCCAGAAAGACTAGTAACAGGTCGTGTAGCAAGCTCTCCGCTGACACCGTACTGCCCTAACACCCCTCTATATTGCTCAATAGTCTGACCTGTAAAATAACCAATTATAAAATTACATTTCAAAGCAGCTTGTACTCAGATTTATGTTCAATTCAACTAAAATTATCAATTACAGTCGGCATCGTACTTGCGTCCACCTTTATTAAGCGACTTTTTTATTAAGCGGCCACATAAAATCCCTCCCGATGATTTTAACTATATAAGTTAATTCCATTAAACGACGATTTTATATCGCGGCCAGCGGCCACTAAATGTCGGCCCAAATAGTCAGATTTAAGTGTTAAAGTATCTATTAAACGGCCGTGACAAACAATCGTCCCTACGGGCATTCTCACTTGTGTAATCAGCGAGTAGGTTTGATGTGTACAAGCAAACAAACAAATATTTTTCATGGTCATTGGAAACGACCGTGACAAATAATTGTCGCTTAAAAACGAATTGAATAACAATTGCAATCGTTTCAAAATCGGAAAAAAAGAACAGTTTTCCGATCGTAATATATTGTGACATATTTTGTCAGTGCAATAACGTATCACAACACCGCATTTGCAAAGTTTTGTCATGTGCTCAGAGTGACCTCCCTTCCAGAAAATAAAGTCGAAAATGACGTCGGAACGAACGAAAAAATGACAGACAACTAATTGTCCGGATAAATTTAATGAGGAAATCGTGCATGGAATTGTGTCTGAGTAAATAGCAAATGTCGTCGTTTGTAGTCGAAATAAAATCGTGAAATGTAGTAGACTAAACATTACAGAACCGAGCCTTTCATTGCTGATGGTGTAGGTGCTCATCTGATGCTTTATAAAATACATGTTGTACCCCATTAAATATAACCCTGATAAAAAATCGAAAAAAAACCCTAGATCTCTAAAAACCTTATTGAATTTGAAATGGGATAGTGTGAAAACTAATTGCTGAAAAAATCAGGAAGTTTAAAACTAGAAACATGAAAAAATATTTGGAGCTCTGGCTGATTACACGAAGGTATGTTCAGCAGCAGATGTGTATAAACAAATATTAACATTATAAGACAATTTGAATATGCTTTGTTTCATGATCAAAATGACCTGTTGATAGTATTATGAGCGTAGATCACATTTGTACACAAATTTCAACTAAAAACAAACACATATCCATGACTTTAAAAAAAGGCATAAATGTAATTATGAAACAGTAAAACATACATAATATTGTACAGTTTTTTGTTTTTATAAAAAGATGTTAATATATCTATGACTTGTAATATAAAAAAATCTCGATTTTTCAAGAATTCTATTGAGAGACCACTTTATTAAGAGACCACTTTTTGGCAGTCCCTTGAGTGGTCTCTTTATACAATGTCGACTGTAGTTTAAGCTAAGGAAAAATGTCAATTTAACATTTACAAATGTATATCTAAAATAAAGAACTTTAAACAACAGCAATGACCTGAAAAAATGTCAAGATATGAAATATAGCCCTAACTGTGTTCTAAAAATATAGCCCTGTGTTCTAAAGATATAGCCCTAACTATGTTAGGAAATGGGTTATAATTGTAGTAATGGGTAGTCATTGATTATTCAAGTTATATCTATCATTGAACTTGTAAAGCATTTGGTGGATTGACAATATTTATATATTTACTCAACTCTTGATACATTTTTTAAAAATCTGTAAATCATCATGGAACAGCTTTTGTCTGCCGTGTCATTTTAGGATGGTAGACTTTTGCCCAGGTGGGTATTTGTCTTTCACTCTTTAGAAATACCAACTTACGCGCAAAAACTTAACAAAAGTGTGAAGCCAACTTCAAGGTGAGTACAGTATCTCTCCCTTTCTTCCAATAATCTCACTTTAAATAAAAACTTCCCAAAGTACTTGTCGATATGCAGGATGGCAATAGTGTATACTTTGAATTAGATCAATGTAAGGGTTACAGGACTTATGATTACAAGGGGAGGTAAATATATCAAGAAATTAGTCTTTGACATCCGTTTATGATCCTGCATAATGAATGGACAAGCAATAGAAGAAAAATAAAAATTTGCAGTTGACTACTTTCTTTTTTCACTATCTAAACTCACCAGGAAATCTTTGTTGCAAAAGTTCTATAGAATTCAGTTCCATTTCAAGCTGATCTACGTGATGCTGACTAAAGTAACCAATACGTAAACTTCTGTGTACGTGTCGTATACCTTTAGTCGGAGATAAATCTCCTAATAATATTTTCAGTAATGTTGTTTTACCCGCACCATTTTCACCAACCTAAAATAAAACGGTTAATTTTAGCAGATACATGTTAATGTTGTACACATGTCTTTCTTTGTTGGGGTTTTAAGTCATACTAACTATGTTAAAGTCATATGGTGATTTTTCAACTTTACTAAAGGAAGATTTCTGGTGCCCCTTTGTGCATTGATTTAGTCCAGGTCTGCAAATTAGTAGAACCACAGACCTTCTATAAGCCAGCTTGTTAATTTAATTTTAGCAGTTTTGGTTCTCATTCTTTGAGAAAATGTCCATACTGGCCTAGCTATATACTGATGGCAGTGATCAAGTTAATATTACATCAAGATGTAACATGAAAATTAACAAGCAACCTACAATTAAAACAAGATATGTTTGTAAAACATGTATGCCCCCTATCAGCAGCCAATTAGTCATGTGATAAGATTATTATGCATGACTTCTTACCCAGTGATCAAACAATTAATAAGGGTTATCAAGTATCTACTGGTCATGACCTTAACCTTTGACCCCTTGACCCAAAACTCAATAGGGGTCATCTGCTGGTCACGACCAATCATCATACAAACTTTGAAGTTCCTGGGCCTAAGCGTTTTTAGTTAATTGATCGGAAACCGTTTTTACCTACAAGGTCAATGTGACCTTGAACTTTGACCCCTTGACCCCAAAATCATAAGGTCATCTGCTGGTCATGACCAATCACCATACCAAGTTTTAAGTTCCTAGGCCTAATGGTTCTTTAGTTATTGATCGGAAACCGTTTAAACATACAAGGTCAATGTGACCTTGACCTTTGACCCCAAAATCAATAGGGGTCATCTGCTGGTCATAACCAATCACCATGCCAAGTTTGAAGTTCCTAGGCCGAAGCGTTCTTTAGTTATTGATCAGAAACCGTTTTTACTTACAATGTCAATGTGACCTTGACCTTTGACCCCTTGATCCCAAAGTCAATAGGGGTAATCTGCTGGTCATGACAAATCACCATACCAAGTTTGAAGTTCCTAGGCCTAAGAGTTCTTAAGTTATTGATCAGAAACCGTTTTTACTTACAAGGTCAATGTGACCTTGACCTTTGACCCCTTGACCCAATAGGGGTCATCTGCTGGTCACGACCAATCATCATACAAAGTTTGAAGTTCCTAGGCCTAAGCGTTTTTAGTTAATTGATCGGAAACCGTTTTTACCTACAAGGTCAATGTGACCTTGACCTTTGACCCCTTGACCCCAAAATCAATAGGTCATCTGCTGGTCATGACCAATTACCATACCAAGTTTGAAGTTCCTAGGCCTAAGGGTTCTTAAGTTATTGATTGGAAAGCATTTTTACCTACAAGGTCAATGTGACCTTGCCCTTTGACCCCTTAACCCCAATATCAATAGGGGTCATCTGCTGGTCATGACCAATCACCATACCAAGTTTGAAGTTCCTAGGCCTAAGGGTTCTTTAGTTATTGATCGGAAACCGTTTTTACCTAAGAGGTCAATGTGACCTTGACCTTTGACCCCTTGACCCCAAAATCAATAGGGGTCATCTACTGATCATGACCAATCACCATATCAAGTTTGAAGTCCCTAGGCCTAAGGGTTCTTTAGTTATTGATCAGAAACCGTATTTACCTACAAGGTCAATGTGACCTTGACCTTTGACCCCTTAACCCCAAAATCAATAGGGGTCATCTGCTGGATATAACCAATCACCATACCAAGTTTGAAGTTCCTAGGCCTAAGGGTTCTTTTGTTATTGATCAGAAACCGTTTTTACCTACAAGGTCAATGTGACCTTGACCTTTGACCCCTTGACCCCAAAATCAATAGGTCATCTGCTGGTCATGACCAATCACCATACCAAGTTTGAAGTTCCTAGGCCTAAGGGTTCTTTAGTTATTGATCGGAAACCATTTTTACCTACAAGGTCAATGTGACCTTGACCTTTGACCCCTTAACCCCAAAATCAATAGGGGTCATCTCCTGGTCATAACCAATCACCATACCAAGTTTGAAGTTCCTAGGCCTAAGGGTTCTTTGTTATTGATCCGAAACCGTTTTTACCCAAGAGGTCAATGTGACCTTGACCTTTGACCCCTTGACCCCAAAATCAATAGGGGTCATCTACTGATCATGACCAATCACCATACCAAGTTTGAAGTTCCTAGGCCTTAAAGTTCTTTAGTTATTGATCGGAAACCGTTTTTGCTTACAAGGTCAATGTGACCTTGACCTTTGACCCCTTGACCCCAAAATCAATAGTGGTCATCTGCTGGATATAACCAATCACCATACCAAGTTTGAAGTTCCTAGGCCTAAGGGTTCTTTAGTTATTGATCAGAAACCGTTTTTACCTACAAGGTCAATGTGACCTTGACCCCTTGACCCCAAAATCAATAGGTCATCTGCTGGTCATGACCAATCACCATACCAAGTTTGAAGTTCCTAGGCCTAAGGGTTCTTTAGTTATTGATCGGAAACCGTTTTTACCTACAAGGTCAATGTGACCTTGACCTTTGACCCCTTGACCCCAAAATCATTAGGGGTCATCTCCTGGTCATAACCAATCACCATACCAAGTTTGAAGTTCCTAGGCCTAAGGGTTCTTTTGTTATTGATCTGAAACTGTTTTTACCCAAGAGGTCAATGTGACCTTGACCTTTGACCCCTTGACCCCAAAATCAATAGGGGTCATCTACTGATCATGACCAATCACCATACCAAGTTTGAAGTTCCTAGGCCTTAAAGTTCTTTAGTTATTGATCGGAAACCGTTTTTGCTTATAAGGTCAATGTGACCTTGACCTTTGACCCCTTGACCCCAAAATCAATAGGGGTCATCTACTGATCATGACCAATCACCATACCAAGTTTGAAGTTCCTAGGCCTTAAGGTTCTTTAGTTATTGATCGGAAACCGTTTTTGCTTACAAGGTCAATGTGACCTTGACCTTTGACCCCTTGACCCCAAAATCAATAGGGGTCATTTACTGGTCATGACCAATCACCATACCAAGTTTGAAGTTCCTAGGCCTAAGGGTTCTTTAGTTATCACTCGGAAACCATTTGGTCTACGGACCGACGGACCGACAAGTGCAAAGCAATATACCCCCTTTTCTTCGAAATGGGGGCATAATTAAATATATTTTAAATATACTTTTACCAGCAACCTAGCAACCATGAATTAAATATATTTTTACCAGTATCCTAGCAACCAGTATTTAAATATATATTTTACCAGTATCCTAGCAACCAGTAATTAAATATACTTTTACCAGTAACCTAGCAACCAATGATTAAATATACCAGTATCCTAGCAACAAATTTACTAATTTTTAAATATACTTACTATACAAATTCTTGAAGACATATTGGCATTACAATCAACATTATCAAAGATTATCCTATCTTTACTATAGTAAAATTGCAACTCGTCCAATTGTAATATATTTGAAGACAATTTTTCACATTCAGGAAACCTTGAAAATAAAAAAAATAGATTAATAAAGACGGTGAAAAAATTGGTTGTTTGTTTGGCTTTAACCCAAAATTTTACACATTTTTTGGTCATAACTCGGAGATCGTCTATCTAGCCGGCTTTTCTGGATAACTAACCAGTAATTATCAATTTCTCTGCAAGTGAACAACTAGTTATCCTAAAATATTATACCTCATTTGCATACGCCATTCTATATTTAATATGACGTCATCCGGTCCATAAACCGCATACAGACCGGGGGCGGTCCATAATTCTTATATGGACCGGATGACGTCATATTAAATATAGAAGGGCGTATGCAAATGAGGTATAATATTTTATTTTGTTGTTAAATGATTCTTTTTACTGAATTTATTGTTTTGTTTTACATAAATTTATTACATGTTAATCAAAAGTCATGATTTGTCTTTAAATTGATTATAAATTTTATTTATACAGTTTGTGAAAATCTAAAAGTTCGGGTTTTTTGCCAGTTTAGTTTGATAAACAAAAATTGAATAACAAAAGAAGAGCATGATTTTTTTTTTTGCTGTATCGCTTGAAAATAATAATAAAAAATCCGACTAGGGTTTGAGATATTTCACACACTGAACAAATAAATTATTATTTGAAAGCAAATTATAGTAAAAATGACAGCAACAAAAGGGGTGAAAGGATTTAGATTTGGTATAATATAACAAATAAAACATGGCCTTTCGGGCAAAATACAGGTTTACGGACTGGTTGGTCAGACCTCGGAAGGTATATGTCCCTCAGCTGCGCTTCGGGCCATATACCTTCCTCAGTCTGACCAACCAGTCCGTAAATTTGCATATTGCCCTCAAGGCCATGTTTTATTTGTTAATGGTATCTTAATTGGCAGCAATGGACAAATGATAATTAGACTCAATGGCAAAGATTGGTTTTAAGTGAACAGTGTGTGTGGTGAATAATTGGTTTCCTGACAATCTGACAAATATTGTTTTAAGTGAACAGTGTGTGGTGTACAATTGGTTTCATGACAATCTGACAAATATGGTTTTAAGTGAACAGTGTGTGGTGTATAATTGGTTTCCTGACAATCTGACAAATATGGTTTTAAGTGAACAGTGTGTGGTGTACAATTGGTTTCATTATGGTTTTAAGTGAACAGTGTGTGGTGTTTAATTGGTTTCCTGACAATCTGACAAATATGGTTTTAAGTGAATAGTGTGTGGTGTATAATTGGTTTCTTGACAATCTGACAAATATGTATACATATAAAAAATGTCATAACATAAATAAGAACTTCGCACAAAAGCAGCATTGAATGACATAGCGCCAAATCTACAAAAAATATTTTATACAAATGCTATCCCTCAAGCATTCTATAAATACATTGTGCTGATAAATTTTGTATGCAACTTCAAAGAATTTATTAAAAGACTTGAATTATATCTTTTAAACAATGTATTTTAATCAAAGTTTCAATATGGTATTCAAATTTTTACAGGATTTTTTTTAGATTTCTGAACCTAAGTGGAATTCTTTTACAGAATTTGTTCTAACAATTATTTAAAGTGACAATATCATAATGCCATATTTACCTTATAGTGACCTCACTTTCTTTACCTGGAGGTTCTAATGGAGGTCTGAAAAAGATTTAAACATAAAATTACACCATTCTAGTGCCTATCTTCTTGTATGATCATAACTGTTCATTTTAATACAATGACCTTAATTGACACTTCAATACATATTGTCTCAAATTACAAATTACCCAATAAAGCTGGCACCATAATCATAGTATAAATTTTAATAATTTTTACAAGAGGAAAATAAGGTCTTTAACACCAAAAAGGAGGTAATCTAATATTAAATGGATTAAAAAGGTAGCTCTTGTTTTGGTGCCTGCCTGGTACACTCAGAATAAAAGTACCTAGTCTACCAAGCTAGGAATAGGGGGAGGGCGTTCAAACCATGATATAAAGGTAACTTAAAGGTCAACATATTCATGTGCCAATTTTAATGTTTAGTCATGTAGAAGAAAATTAAGTAATTTTATTTTTCAATATGAACACATAAAATTATCAGTAATAAACTTTGTATAACCCTTACAAAGTCCTGAATCACACAGATGTAAGAGTTGCTACCTGTTATGAAGGTGCGACTTCAAAGCGCAGCAATATCATAGACGTCAGTTTGACTTAATAAGATTTTAAACAGCGTGTCATTTCCGAAAAAAACAACTCACTACTAAGATACAATGTAATACCGTCCAACAGTTGAGAGATGGTCACACTCATAACCTTACTATTTACTTACAGCAGTTTTCCTTTCTTCAAAAGATTCCCAATAGTAAAAATGCCCATTTTTACCCAAAGTGGTATCAAGAAATTCCCAATGACTATAGAAAATTTTTAATTTGTTGCTTTGTTTTATTTTTTCTCCACAAAATCTCTTATTAAATGACTTCATAAAAACCAAATTAATTGAGCCGGGAATTAAGTGAGCCGGGTAATTCATAAAATGTTGAAGGAAAAAAATCAACACTGGCCTATATAATATTGCTAAAATTGTTACATGTACATTAAAAATTTATAGTCACAAATAAATGTAATATGAAGTGTAAATACTCACAATTTTTCTAAAAGTTTTAATTTACTCTGTACTTGAGAAGCCCTATTTGCATTATATCTAAATCTGTCTATAAACACCTGAAAATATAAATAAATATTGTAATTTTACATTATCATAAAACATGTATACAATTTTCCATTGCAAATGTGTTAGCTTATATACATAGGCCAAAATAGCTAAATCAAACACTTCTTGAAAGGCTGCTTGTTAAGGACAAGTGACCTTTATAAAAGGTTTATGATACTGTAAAGTGTACAAATGGTTACTTACAATAAAATAATTAATTTATGAATCTGCAGCAGCCATGTTTATAGATAACTAACCAATGAAAATATACATTTAAAAGACATATAAAGAGTACAGCATAAGATGGCAGTTCACTGTTAGCCTGCCAGCCACAACTGAATCTACTCCAGTCAGACAAAGAACAGAATGCACATCCATGCCCTGTTTACTTGTATTCAGTCACTACATATTTTGAAGTTTTTACTGAAAATGATGACTGGTTTTGCCCAGATTGAAATATGGGCAAGTCCATTTAAGATATTTAGCAGATTAAGGTTTAAGAAAAAATAAAACATCACTATTTATCTATACACATGTACCTGTATATGATCTCTATACTGCTTCTGTGCCTCGTATTCTTTCTTCTGATTTTTCATTCTTTCTTCTTTAGTTTTATCAAATTGATCATAATTTCCTTTATAAGTGTCCAGTCTTTTATCATGTAAATGCACAATTTCTGTACAAACTGAATTTAAGAAGGAACGGTCGTGTGATACTACTAATATCGTTGTCGGCCAAGTCTGAAAGAAAAATAAATTTAGCCCGTAAATATTAATCTGCAAGAAGTATTATAGAGTGTTGAAGAAATTTGTGAGTTTATAAATGTTTCTTTTTTGCTTACCATTTTTGGTATAGTATGTACAATATTCACCCTAAAACACAAACTAGAAATGTGTAGTCACGCCACAGATGCCCCTGTATGCAGCCAAAATTTCAGATGTTATGATATTTAGTTCCAAATTTGTTTGCACAAACTATTCTTTTTTCATTTTAAGTTCAAAGCCCTTAAAGCTAATCAATGTTTACACAAACCATTCTCATACAAAGTTCAAGGCACTGAAACTGTTCAGCGTAAACTTTTTGTAAATTGAATATTGCATATTTCTAGCCAAAATAATGACTACATAGTTTACACTTTCAAAAAGTATGAGTGTTGAAACTGAAAATTCAAAATTTTTCCAACATTTAAGATAGATAACTTTGTCCAAAATCATTGAACCATGACCAAATTCAAACTTGAACTGCTTATTCCTAAGATGTATCTATATGTCAAATTTGAGTTGAATGTGTACAACCATTCGGAAGATAATGAACGAAAACTAAAAATTTCTGATTTTTTTCAAAGTGAAAGGGGCATTACTCTGTCAGCTATCATCAAACCATGACCATATTCGAAGTTGGCCAGTGTATTTTTATGACATGTCCATATTTTAAATTTGAGTTGAATATGTACAACTGTTTGGGAGATAATGAACAGAAACTGAAAATTTCCTTTTTTCAAAGTGAAAGGGGCACTCCTCTGCCAAAAATCATTAAATCATGACCAAATTCGAAGTTGACCAGCGCATCCCTTTGACATATCCTTTTGTGAAATTTGATTTGAATGTGTAATACAGTTGGGGAGATAATGAACGGAAACTGAAAATTATATATTATTTTCAAAGTGAAACAGGCATAACTCTGCCAAAAATCATCGAACCATGACCAAATTCAAACTTGACCTGTGCATTCCTTTGACATATCCATATGTCAAATTTGAGTTGAATGTGTACTACTGTTGGGGAGATAATGAAGGGAAACTGAAAATTTCATATTATTCTCAAAGTGAAAGGGGCATAAATCTGCCAAAAATCATCGACCCATGACCAAATTCGAACTTGACTTGCGCATTCCTTTGACATATCCATATGTTAAATTTGAGCTGAATGTGTACAACTGTTAGGGAGACAATGAATGGAAACTGAAAATTTTATCAAACATCATCAGACCATGACTAAATTCAAACTTCGCTTGTATTTTCTCATGATATATCCATATGTCAAATTTTAGTTGAATGTGTGCAACCGTTACTAAGATAATGAATGGTAACTGATGATGGCGGAATGACGGAACAGGGTGACACTATTTTATGGCGGGGGCATAATAACATTACATTACATTTAAAGATAACACATAATTAGACAATACGTCAAGTTTCCATAAATGAAAAATACGGAACATTACATTCAAAGATACTACTCTGTTTTATTATTTCATGTCCAAGCAAAAATCTGGAGAAATCACCCATGCCATGTGTCCTAAAAGGCTAAATACTGTTTCCATATTTTCTAATCTAATCTATTTCACAGCAGCAGAGTATATGATGGGGGTTTACTTCAAAACTGTTGTAAGTCCTTTATGTCATATAAGTTACTGCAGTTCTGCAGACAACCCTTGATACTGATTATATAAATTCAATAATTATCCAATGAAAGTCAATGTTACATGAAATACACATTATAATGTTTAGACAATATAATTTTACCTGTAGATAATTTTCCAGCCATATAATGGCTTTCATGTCCAACATGTTTGTAGGTTCTGAAAAAAAGTTTGTGCGATTAAAGATTATTTTAGTCCTTTAATTTCCTTAAAGTAATACTGAACTTAGATCTAAGAATGTGTCTTTATCAATTAATACAATAAAACAATAATAAACTTACAGCAAGCTAAGGATGCACGCCATTAATTTGAAAAACAAAATCCAATTATCCATAATGGTTTGATTCTGTAGCAATGTGTTTGTAGAGCTAGATTTACACATGTGTATGTTCAAAATGTCAAAAAAATCTATAAACCCTGAATTTAGCATTATTTTAATTGGTTTTATAAGAATAAAAAAGCAAAAAACGACCAATTAAGTGTTAACCAACTAAATATGGACAGACGCCAGATGCCGGATGACAGACGCCAGACATTCAACGATCCTAAAAGCTCACCAAGCCAACTCATATGAGCTAAAAAGGTACACCTTCATTCAACAAATATTTTAAATAAACATTTACCATTGTATACATGTACATGCACTATTGCCTGTTTTTAGCAAATACTTGTATTTATATATCATTTTACATTTATAATGGTGATACTAAAGCTGTTCTAAGCCTAATATAAGTTTTTTTTTTATCTATAAAAATCATTATAGACTAAAGAGGTTGAAATATATCATAATAGATAAACAAACTTACGATCAAGTAACAGAAGATCTGGTCTGAAAACATGAAAAACAGAGTTGAAAATTACATTTCAGAATATTGATTACTGTACATGTTTTTATGCTTATCTTCTGATAAATCTTTTCTTGATAATCTACTGTTATTCTTATTTAAAAACATTGAACAAATTTGGAATTAAATGTACAAATTTATTTTCACAAAGAATAATAACCATTGGTCAATTTAGAATCTCAGTCTTGATGGTTTCACCAGCCTACCTATTAAAGTTTTTAAAAGTTATAATTGTAAATTTTATGGTAGTATGTGTTAACATGATATAAGATCAATAAATATTTTCTTTTAAACACTTTCATATATTATACAAATATGGACTTTTTAGCTGTTGAATATGATGTGATATGTACTGAAAAAATTAATATTGACCGAGGCGATATGATGTTTTATTATATAATTTATAAATAGCTTTTATATGGCTTATCACATCTGCCATTGCATATGATGGAAATCATTATTTTTCAGCTTGTCTACTGTTTCCATAATTTGGCCCTTTCCATTGGCATGCTGATCCCTATTGTTCTTAAAAATGCAAAACTGTAGCTAATATAGACTAATTTGACTCTTATGTACACCCAACTCGATGTTTTTTCAGAATAATAACAACAAACTTGGCATGACGTCACGTCAAAGTCTTGCTTCTTTTTGGGATTTCCAGAAAATCTATTTTTAGAAGAAAAACCGGTGAATATACTCTGAAAATCTATTTTTAGGAAAAAAACAGCGAATATACTCTGATATTGACCTGTTATTTTTTACAAAAAGTTGCTTGTTAGCCAATCAGGGAAAGGCATTTCAAAGCTATTTATAGATTATATAATAAATTTCATTATTTATCTATTCACCTCTATCCCCACTAAATATCTTTAAAATATCTTATAAGAACTTATAGATCTTTCAATCTGGACAAATCATCCACCATTTTTAATATTGTCTTTCACCTGTTCACTTACAATTTACCCTTGGATGGGCATAATGTCACTATAAATAAAATATAAAGACAGGCTTACTTTGAAAACAACGCCCTTGCTAACGCCAGTCTCATTCTCCAACCACCAGACAGTGACCTAGATTAATGATACACAATATAATAACACTGGAAACATTGGAATATATGTAACTTTCTCTTTACAATATAAGTGTTCATTTTGTTCTAATGCTGCTTCTTCATTATATTTTAGCTTATTTACATTTGTTTAGGTTTAATAGCACACTATATTTCTTATAAATTTCTTTAAAGTATTAAATTTCGCCAAAAAAAAAAAAAAAAAAATCAAAAAAAAATCACTATTTATTTTTAGTTTGTTTTGCACAACAAAAATTATTCTGATTATTCTGGAGAAAAAAGTGACTATCTGAAATCATGCACAAATGATACTGGTATAAAACTTCATCAAATGGTATATAAAAATCTCAAAACAATATTTCTAGTTCTGTTCTGTAAAATGAGCTGCGTCACGACAAAATCAACATAATGGGTTTGCGACCAGCAAGGATCCACACCAGTCTGCGCATCCGTGCAGTCTGATCAGGATCCATGCTGTTCGCTTTCCAACCTTATTACAAGAAGAGAAACTGATAGCGAACAGCATGGATCCTGATCAGACTGCACGGATGCGCAGACTGGTGTGGATCCTTGCTGGTCGCAAACGCACTATGTTGGTTTTGTCATGACGCGGCTCATTTCTAGTTCTGTTCTGTAAATAAAAAATGTCAGTGGTGTCCCTTCAGCAAACTTACCTAGTAGGAGCTCTCTGCATCTGAGGAGAGAAGCCGAGACCTGCCAGTATCACAGCTGCTTTAGCCGGGGCTTTACTTGCCTCAATAGCCTCAAGTTTCTGATAGATCTCAGATAACTCTGTTGATAATGAATTCTCCCCCTTGTGTTCACTGAAATCAAAACATGTCACATATATTCATAATTCTGTCAATAATGACTTATAAAGAAATATACATTGTAACACAATCTTTCAGCGTATCACTTCTTATAATCTACAAATTTTTTTTCACACCACAATATAATATACTGATCTTTTATGTATCTTTTGAACTCTTTCCTGTTGCTTTTTCTTTTCATTATTTTTATTTTTTTCAAGTAATTGATCCATAATGACAAATGCTAATTAAAAAGTGTAACACAAATGGCAAGAAATCGTAAACAAGGGTGAAATTGTCACAAAATACACCCGTCACAAAAGCTTTAGGTGGAGGTGTGGGCAATAAAAAGTGTGGCAAGGAAATTGGTCCCCACTTGTGTTTTCATATTTTTTCTGAAAAGCTAAAATATGCTCTGGACAAAATTCGACGTGCCCATCTGCCTGGGACGTTGCCATAATAAGTCATGTTTTCCTTATAAAAATTCAAGCTTTCTGCCAATGTCATATAATTATAAACAAAAGAAAAAAATCAACATCATCCTGTGAAAATTTTGATTGAATACTTCTGGAAAATGTAGGGCAAGTTAGTTAGATAGTAATTTGTTCACACTGTATCATCTGACAAACTTGCCAACAGTCACCAATCAAATAATGAAGTTTCTGTAAAAAGAATATTTTACCTAGAATTAAGTAATTGGTTAAGTTCTTTTTCTCGTGTAAGAAGTTTATGTCTTTCCTCATCACTCTCTAGAACACTGTCTAATGATAGTGTATCATCCCCCACCACTTCTTGTTCTACATGCAGAATTGATATGTGTGACGGGATCTGTAAATTTCCACTGCGAAAAAAGGAGCAAAAAACTATACAATATTGCTTACATTTTATCATAAAAAATTAAAAAAATTACTGGAAAAATTTCTAGAAACTCACTGACCAAGTCTGTTGAGGTTTGAAAGGCAACTCAAACAGGGTTGGAATTACACTTATAAACATTATTGTTATATTGAAATACTTAACCTACATAAATTTTCAATGTTATCAATTCTAAATTCAAAAGGTGACGTGTACATTTAAACTAATTTAGTAGTTTTACACAGTCAGCAGTTTTTTGATAAATTCAGCTGGGTATTGGCTCAATCTTACCTAGAGATCATTTTTAAAAGCGTAGTTTTACCGAGACCATTTCTACCACACAAACCATATCTTCTACCTTCTGATAGATGTAATGAAGCACCAGTAAGTAACACTCTGTAGATGTAAAATATATATACCAATAAAACAAAACAATTAATTATTATTTGGAAGATAATTTTACTTATTGAAGGCCCATTATGCCACAGATATGCTATCATTTTTATTTCTAAAAAAAATATTTTTGGTATCTTGTTACAGTTGCCAAAACATAACTCATGTGCCATTATAGATGAACTAACATTTGCTTCTGTTGCTGTATTAGCAATTCGTATAAGTATAGTGAATAAATTTTGTATGGAAGTCAAAACACTACTTTGTTTACATTTTGCTACATTTATGACATATTACAGCACTGTTTAACATTACTTTCTTCATTTGTTAAACATCTAACATGCTCTAAATTCATTCTTTAACATTTAAAAACAAATGTTTGACATTTCTAAAGAACTGAAAATAAATATAAATTTTGAGGCATAATGTGCCTTTGAATAAAAATAAATGAATATAATAATAAACAAAAAGCGTTTTTTACAACACAAATGAAGCCTGAAAAAATCTGGGCATAAATAACAGAGTTATGGTGCAATTTCATAAATCTTGAGAATTTTACAAATTAAAGACCATTTCAGTTGTCACTTTTATAGTTCAATACAAGCCAAAATGAAAATCTACAAACATGTTTTGTCCAACTATGAAGGCTGTAAGGTATAGGATGAAGTTGCTATGGCCTTTGGCAGATAGAACAGTTACAGTGATTATCATGTAGTATTTTGTATGGAAGTCAAAATACTACTTTGCTTACATGTTGGTACTTTCATGACAAATAAATTTACATTCAGCACTATTTATTTCAGTTGATAACCATCTCTTATGCTCTTTAAACCATTATTTTAACCTTATAAAACTAATTTTTGCCTCTCTAAAGAAGGAAAAATTTAACAATTTTTGCCTTTCTAAAGAAGGAAAAATTTCAGGCATTTCTGAGGCAGAATCATGATAATGTTCCGGTAAAGATTTTGCATGATGAGAATAATGACCCCTTTGTGGAAAAAAAAGCAAAAAAAGAATCGTATACAGGATAATGATAACTATTTAACTTTGCAACACCATTAACATGTATACAGATACTAAATGACAAATATGTAAAATTATTCTTAAATATCAGCGAGTGAATTAATCAACCCCGTCAAATTCAGTACATTAAACTTTGAACAATTCTCAACCTAAAATATAATGTATGAAATGGCAACTACAGATCGACTATGCAAGAGATATTTACCTGTCACCAAAAGCAATATCAAAGTTTTCTATTTTGATATCATACGATCTGTTAGCACCGGAAGCATCAAACTTCATGTCTCGTTTATTAAACTGCTGACTTGCTGTGGGTCCATCCAATACTCTGTAGCAATAAACATAGACGATATTGAATGCGTGTAGGTTTAATACTAAATTTATTGAACAAGTTGAATAAAATCATTTGATATAACTTCAAAATGCGAGTTAAATACATGTAATGTTGAATCTATACGAATATAGTATTCTATTTATCACTTGTATCATAGTTTGGGGATATTTCTGTAGAAAATCTGACAGAGTTAAATTGATATATAAACATGTACAGTGCGTTGACTGGAGTGCAGGTATTAGTTACCCGCACTCCAGAGCATACCCATTGATTGGTTTATTTTGTCCGTGGTTTACATATTGTGACTGCAGAGAAATGGATAGCGATGGAAATATCATATTCAGATGCCCGTTCAGTGGTTACTTTTTTGTGGGGTTTCATATTGTGGTATCAAGGAACGTGTTTTTATGTTTGACTATGATACAAAAGAGAAAGAACATCAAAACACTCAGCAATCTGATTTATATTCGGGGGCTATGCCCCCTCGTACAAATCAGATAGCCTCGTGTTTCGATGCTCTTTCTATTACATATATAAAATAAGAACAGTTAACTGTTAAAAAGAGTCATTTTTTATTGACACTAACATTAGTGGCTCTCACGCTATGTTTATATATAACACAAATGACGACACATCAAAATGTTATTACACTAGTGTAATATCATTTTTATCAAATGGCTTTATTATGCTCCTGCGCCATGGTTTATATGATAAATGTATGTATTATATGTGTGCTACATGCAATATGGATGAAAACAGAACTTAAAAGTAAGAATGACAACTTTAGAACCAGTCTTCTCATATTTAAATATCTGACTGGTTCAGGTTTACAAAGGAACATAAGATTAACCAACAGCTAGGAGCCATCCTAGGTCAAACCAGATTCACTCTGCCATTAGACAATTTAGCCATTAGCTAAATCTTAATTTATATGAATACAGAAATTATAATTTTTTATAAGGGATTTTTGCCAGTGTTATGCTGTTTTGATAAAATTCTAAATGCAATGAGAAATTCACACATCTTGCTGACAATGATTTTTAACCAAGGTAAACCATTGAACTGTTGCATTCGAAACCGGTTATATGTTTTATTCATAACAATATTACATTATAAAAATTAGTTTCTACATATACATGTATTTATCTTGTTATCTCTAGATAAACAAATATCACAACCTGTAAGCAATGACCCTCGAGTACTAGCTAAAAGAATTATAAGATTTATGCCACCATTAGTCAGCCAGCATTTTCATGGTGTATGGCCAGACATTAGACTGTTAATTGCTCAATTTTTGTATTCTGATACTGTAATCCCTTTACTTACATTAAATTATAGAACATTACAGTGATTTTTCTGCTTGTATAACAGACTCCGAAAAAGGGCCTCTTCCCAATTGAAATTTTCTTTAAAATCATGCAGTTTTCCCAAAAATCTGAATTTAAACCTGCTTTTTTACTTCCCAAATTAGCAATTTTAGTGATAATTTTTCCCAAAATCAAGAGGCTAAGGCCTCTTCCCAATTAAGTGAGAAAAATCACTGCATTACAATTACACAAAATTATCAGCGTATTTTTTAAATTCACTTTTGTTGTTACTTTATAACCTTGTATTTTTGTTCTACTAAAAGCACAATAATAAAAGTATTACCCATTTGGTTTTTTAGAAGCTACACCATCTTTGTCTGCTTGTTTTTTCTGTTTCTTTTGTATCTGAGCCTCTGCTTTCGCCAGCTGTTTAGAATCTACTTGCTGTAAATGATAAATAATGGTGTACAGATATTGTGGAAACAAATTAACATAATTATATATGTATGAATATATGGAAGGAACATTAAGGACTCAATCCATTATTGTCTTAAAGGTGTATGACATGCTAGTGTTACATAAGGAGGACTGAACGCAAAACTGTTGTAACTTCTTCTTTATTTCAAATAGTTGAACTCTTGATAAACACATATTCTAAAAGCATGCAAAGTTTAAATAAATCCCGTTATGCAGTTTTCATTTTGCTATATGTCTACATGTAATTGTAACTCTAGCATATATCTTAAAGCCAGCAAATCATCTGTTATAAATCCATATATATTTTGGGTTGGGTTTTAACTGGTAAATTAAACAATCTACTAGATTTCAAAAATGAACTTGATTAGCTTCCATTTTTGGAACTGTCTATTATCATTTTTGGGAATGTTAAGACGAAAATTTGAAGCTAGCCAACCAACAGTATAGAGTCTGGTCAGAAAGCATGGATGTGCAAGCTGGCCTAACTCTGTACTGATGACAAAGAATTATTGCTTTCATTCCCAGCAGGGAAAGAGTTAAATCACATTGACATTTTTTAAGGTATATGGAGACTTCTAGCTTTCCTGGTGAATACAGACCTCAGATACATTACTTCAGGGACAAGTGGGCATCTGAGTAGAGCCACTGACTACCCTTAAGATATCTGGATAGCTTCCTCTCATAAAAAAATCCAAAGTCAATGGTAGGATTCAAACTCGCAGCAGTAAGGGGCCAGTGGTTTGAAGTTCAACATAAAAAAAACAAATTAAGTCAGTAGAGCTCTAAAAAAGACTTAATTCAAGAAATCTACTACATAAAATCTGATAAAACATAAAGTGTGACTTAGTGTATTTGAACAGCTATTTTTTACATGATACAAAATCTCTTCATTTCAATTTATTTTTAGAAATAGTTACACACATACCAGAGTGCTGTCCCTTTTTGACATCCATATACTGCCTGTTGATTCTGTCTTGTCCTTTTTATCCTCAATCAGAGCACCAAGGTGAACAGGTGCATCTAGAATCTTGTGTGGACCATTGCTTACTTCCCCTACTGTATCCCTGAAATAATCAAATACTTAGTCATTGTTTTCCATATTCTCAAAATAACACTCTAAATTTGAACAGAGTAACTTTACAAAATCTTATCGCATTCCATTACTGTTTTGTGTCATTATTAGATGTAAAACCTGACTCTTGATCAACAACAATTTTGATATACAAGACCCCAATTACCTTATAGGGAACTGTACCCAGGCCCTTAAATTATAAAATAGGGGAATTTGGCATATTTTTAAAAAAATTTAAAAGGGGTATTTTTTTTTGAAATTAGGGGAAAAACTTGTATCTAATGGATTTGGGAATGGTTCGGAATAGAGAAATGAAAGCCCTGACATAGTAATTGAACCCTAAATCATCACTTACTGTTTGCCAATTAAAGCATATAATCTGTTACATATTTCACGTATATCATCTTCTGTTTTGTTAACATCAACTTGTTCAAAGAAAGGACCAATCGCTTCAAACATGTCATCTGAGGATGCCACAACATCCGAGTCTTCAAGCATTCCTGAAAAAAATACAATATCTATATATCTATAATCGTGAACTTCTCAAGTTGTACAAGTAAAGCTGGATAAACTATATTGATATATCAATGACATTTTTCTGTAAATAGAATATATAGAAACATTAAAGATTATAATTTTGAAATTGACAAGCTAATACAGGGAAGCCAAAGGCCCCAGGCTTTGGCTTGCCCAGCTATAGACTACACATGTATATTTAAAAGGAATTCAAATAAAAAATTATAAAAGAATACATAGAATTTGATCTAAACCTATCAATGAAATTTTAAGCGTCAGTTCTAGTTGGGCGCCGCCATTTCAATGTAACTCAATGATAATAGACAGGGTATTCCTATAACAGAACAATCACAACTTTTCAGATTAATAATAATCATCAAGTGTTCCGAGTGAAAACAGAAGCAGTGCATGAAATACTGAATGACAAAGGTCTTTTAAACGGAAAAATGAAAAAAAAATTTAACCGACATCCCCATTCATAGGCAGTGATTTTTCTCACTTAATTGGGAAGAGGCCTTATCCTCCTGATTTTGGGAAAACTTATCGCTAAAATTTTTGATTTGGGAAGTAAAAAAGCTGGTTTAAGTTAAGATTTTTGGGAAAACTGCATGATTTAAAGAAAATTTCAATTGGGAAGAGGCCTTTTTTCGGAGTCTGTTATATAAGTAGGAAAATCACTGATAGGCTTTGCCTAATTTCATATTAACTTAGAATATTAAGAATTATTAGAATGTGCTTAGTTTGGTACTAAAATAATAAAGTCACAGCAATAACACGTATATCATTTTTTATTTTTCCAACGTTTCGGCAAATGTATGCCTTTTTCAAGGTAAATAAATAATAATAATATCAACGGACGTGACGTCGTAATTTTACAATTAACGTCACGCCCACTTTAGCGGAAAAACGAACAAATACGAACAATTCCAATTCATGATAAAAGAGATAAGTGCACCAAACAAAGCATCAAAATATAAAAACGACACAATAGATATCGGATTAATAAATACGAATATTTCCTATAGGGTTTAATTATAAAAAATGATAATAGGAAAAAACGAATATCTATGTGGCGTAATTCTAGCATTTGTAGCGTGGATTGATATTTTATGAATTATTTAATTGAGTATAACAACTTTGTGTTCATTCCTTCTGGAAAATGAGTTTTTAGCTTATGAATCCAAAATGTTTCTTTGCACAAACGATCTAAAGTATTGTAAACAACATCTATGGGCATAAATGAAAAGTCGGTAAAATTATGATCGTCCTTATTAAAATGATTTGCAACATTAGTGGAGAATGCAGGATCTACAAAATTGCATATATCAAATTTATGGCTATTCATTCGTTTAGACACAGGTTGTTTGGTTTGACCAACATACTGCATGCTACATTTTTTACATGTTATCAAATATATACAATTCTTGGTTTGACAGTTAGTATGTTGACGTAAGTCAAATATCTCTCCTGTATTTGAACTATAAAATGACGTACCACTATTAATACGAACACAATGAGAACAGCGTTTTCTACAACAACCTCCAGAATGTGATGTAAAGTCACTGTCAGTATCAATCTAGATCTAACTAAAAAGTCTTGTAAGTTTCTTGGACGTTTATAGGCAATTATGGGTGTGTAGTTATTGTGAATATTTTTAACACCTTCGTTTTTTGACAGATTTAGTAGGTCCCAATATTTATGAATAGTATTTCCAATATTAGGTAAGGACGGATTATATGTCACAATAAATGGAAGAACGTTTTTCTTTTCTTTATCTTGTTTTTTTTTTTCTTAGTTTGGTACAGCGTATATGAGAATAATAAAAAATAGCTAGCTCAAAGAGCTTGCCTGAAGGGCCTGCTTGCAAAGCTTGCTTTACCGAATTACGGTAACACGAGTACCTGCTAGATAGTGATGCCTGATGGTTTTGAAAACTTTCGTCAGAAGTACTGAATTGACACAGACACATCGCAACTTTTCAAATTTCAAGATAACGATAAAAGCCGAGGAATTCTGATTGAAAACATTTTCCTAGACTGGTGTCCTGGGCACTTTAATAGGAACCATAATAGGACAGGGAACCAAATAAATGGAAGCAATGTATAACATACCGAATGACGGTTTTAAAACAGAAATGTAAAGTAATTTAGTATAAATGAACGATTATTTTATATTATTTCACCATAAAAGTAAATCAAGCTTGCTAAGAGGTTTTGCCTTTTTCATAGTAATCTTTCGATATAATTCTGTTTCATTCAAATTTCAATACACCAATTTATTTTTCTTCAACAGGTCTAGGATTTCATGATATTTATGGACAGTCTGTAAATTTATGGACCATCTATAATTTTACAGATTTTTCTATCTGTAAATTTATAGACATTAAATGCGAAAATAGTATAAGTTGTATTAAAATTAAAAACCGCAGGTTAATAAGAATAAATTTACTGATAATATGATTAAATGTAACAGTATGATAAGATTCAGAACAATTTGATGACTTTCAATTTTCACTTTTAACAAAAATTTCAAAGTCATCATACAAAGATGAAACTTATCTCATTACCTTTGTTAATAGAAACAATCAATATAACAACTAGTTCTGGCTTCCAAAACTTTATAAGCCGCTTTTTAACATTTTTGTTTTTCATCAGATGCGGCATTAAAGTTTTGGATTAGACCCGTTACGAAACCTAACCAGAATAACATAAGTTGATTTATTCTTGTTTTTCACTTGCAAATACACTTGACCCGATCAATTCTTGTGCATTTTACGGTAAACAATTATTTAAATATCGTATTCTAAACCAATTCAGTAATAAAATATCAATACCGTCATTAAAATTGCCTATTTAAACTGTAAAACATTCAATTTTCGCCGACTACAGTCGGCCATGACATTCATGTGCCACGCGAGATCTCGTATGACGTCATTCGCGGGAACAGATTTGAATAGAGTTGTGTACTATATTTAGAACATTTTGTCGACATGATTTCGATTATTTTTTTTATCAATGATAATGTTTTTATTTATTTTTCATAATTTTTTTTAGTATTTAATTATGATTTTTATTGAATATAACAGTCAGTAAATAACCTTTTTTCAACATCTTAAAAAAAAAGTAATCTATAAAAAATATTGGAGGCACATGGGTTCATAAGGTCAATCTCGTAATCACTTGGTCAAACATTTTGACAATATGGCGGCCAAGTGCGAAATTTTACCTGTCGGAACTATTAGGTAGTTTATGTTCCTAATAAGATTTTTATCTGCCCATTTATTGGCTTATCAACAGATTATATATCGTTATTATCAAGGTATGCTTCACTTTACTTAGTGGCATGTTCGATTAATAAATACGAGCGTGTCAGATTCCTGGCACGATTATTGGTGGACTTTCCCTACGGGGTTATCTTCAGCGTTCACGTCATGTCATATATATAAACGGGTACGCTGAAGACCTTAAGCTATATAACAACTTGTTTTAAGCTGCGGATTTTAGTATAAAACTAAAAAAAGCAAATTTAACATCGAGGATCTGTAAATTTATGGACCGAAAAATCTTTAAATTTATAGACTATCCATAAATTTACTGACAGTCCATAAATATCATGAAATCCTAGACCTGTTCAACTGACACACTGAGAGTGCCAAAAATTAAAAATTCTATCTAGCTCTGGTGGTCGCTCTGGTTATTGCCAACCACTATGTATAAAGGTAAATGAAAACTTGGCATGATTTACATTTAAGGAATAGAATGAGTGAAAACTGGGCGGGTCGATACCAAGTATTGCACAACATATTAAACTGTCAGATCAACGTGGGCAAAATTACAAGGTTGAAAAAAGTTACTTTAAGAGCCTATCACGATGTAATCTATGGTAAAGTTTTGGATCTTTCGATGTAACAATAGTTTTGACATCGATGTATTTAATTTTTAACTCACCAGTAACATAACTGACAATTTCTGGATCTATTGAAGGAAAACAGCCGGTGATGAATTTTTCATAGTCGGCCATTTTGGTGATTATCATGTTAACAATAAATTGTGAGAATAACAAACCTACATAGGCAAAAGACTACTAATTTAGAATCGACAGGATTGGGCCATGAACGAGAATAAACATGTCGGTCAAAAGCTATACATAGTTTATGCTTTGTAAAATGTTATATATAATTACCGACAATAAATAAATTTTAATTTGATTTGATTTGATTTGAGAAACTTTGTGGCGGGAAATAAACAACGGGACTTAACCGTTAACAAACCCATCTATGAAATATTACATTGGATGTTTCATATATAGAACTAAATACCTTCAGTTCTTTTCAAAATATTTCTGTCCGTCATTTTGACATTGCTATATTTCAATATATTTTTAACCGTTTTTAGATATTCAAAATGATTTATTTCGGGCTTATATGAGAAGTGTTAAACTGTATAAGTTATGTAATATTAACTATAGGCTCAATACAATATAGTTTATAAATAAGAACTATCCCATGAGGTAAGTCATTCGTTAACATTTTATTTAAACCATTTTACTAAATTGAAATATATATACAAATGACAAGTCCGTACCCAAGGGATATCTAATGCGACAGGACGGCTTCTAGAATAATTGATTGGCTGTCTACTTGTCTTTAATTAGTTTATATTAAACAATTATAATATTTCGACGAATAGAAACGTTTTAAAAGAGAATATATGCTATCTTGCACATAATATTTATTTTATCCCAGTTGCAATGTACATTGTTAACATGTAGATGTAATTATTTTGAAATGTTGCAATTAAGGAACGCAATGCTTTACATATTAAGAATTCATATTAATCTGCAAAAAGTAACACAAAATGAATGTCTTTAACATATTTGCTAGATCTGATAGTAGCATTTAAAAGAAAAACACATTTTGATATTTCTTTCGTTGAAATTCCTGTCTCTGTAGATTTCTACTGTACTGTACAGTAACTTTTACAGAGTTGCTTCCCTTATATGTATACAACTTAAAAGTCGCACCTTAAATAAAAGTTTTACGATTTTTTTATGTTATACTGAATAAAAAGACAACAACCTATATTGAATGCAGTTAATGTTATAATTTAGTAATAGTTATCTGAAAACCTATGTAATGTTGTGATAAAAAGCAAATTTAGATATGTGATATATTTCTTTTTCCAATAAAGCAACCATTAAATTCCCCTTTAAAGATATTTAACATAAGTGTTTGCATTGTTTGTTTGTTTTATCATCTCTATACGCCAATCAACAGTCCAATAATGCACATACATTTTGTATTTATCTTCATTGTTTATTAAAACATTTTTCAGAGGAACTTTTCTAGAAAGTCCTGATAATGTTCGATCTAATATTCATACATTACGCACGCTTCTCTAATCTAAAACAATATAGATATAAATATAGGTATAGTTCCAAGTAAATGTTAAAAGTTTAAACCAACAACGATTCTTTAACATTCGCGCATACAATTAGCTAATTAAACAAGTAAATATTTATCCAAAACAGTAGCATTGGTGGCAGATAAATTTACAGTAATTTCTTTGCAAACCATTATAAAATCATTCTTGTGGCTCGTATATTTCATTTCCGTTAGCTTTTATGGTTAAAAGATAAATAAAGATAAATATAATGATGGAAGGCGAAAATAAGAATATCTCCTTTGAGAAATGTTAAACAAATAAGACACTTTACACGTGCTAAGTATCACATTTATAACTTACCCAAGGGATCAGCACTGTAGACATTGTACATTCACAATATCACATTCTTCTTAACAATTCTTGTTTTGGACGCTTATTACATTGCAGGTGTCGATAATGTTTTAAGGTTTTTCTTTCGGGGGCAAAATGACGGTCTGTGAAAATAAACTATTTCATAAACTAGATAGAAATAGGGATGGGTTTGGGAAATAACACGTCCAAACACCAAGAAAATATGTTCACTATGATAGTTATTTTGTTAAATCGGAATTAATGAATTGAAAAACTAGGTATATACAGGTTTCACCAGGCTACCACTATTTTTAAATTTTACAAAGCATAGTCGAATAGTTTGCATATTATAATTTTGCACAGTTGTAACACCGATTTTCACTGGATAATCGTGATGTTTATAATTTTAAACTTTATAAAAGGATGCTGTGAATTTATGAATTAATTTCATTTTTTTTTCTTTTAAGAGGAACCGTTGCTGCGTTATAATTTCGTTATAAATATTCTTGACATGTTATATGGTCGTACATATGCTCGGTTGTTTGTAATAATTATATGCAAATAACCGTTTATATAAGGTCATATAGCTTGTCATGAATATTCAGAATTAATATTACATTCAAGAGGAAAATAATCAAATAATTAATTATAAAATTAATAATCATATTAAAGCATAAACCTTTGTTCAAACTCCTAATTCTACTGAAATATTGTTATCGAAGGACATGTGAATGGTAACATGAACAAAATACGAAAGATTCTGAAACCACCATGAAAGAAAGCAAACAAAATATATTAATGATCTAAGGGAATGTATAAAAATACTAATATCTGATTTAATAAACGATAGGTTAACTCATATTGTCTAAACGATATTTAACAAATATTTATTTCTCACAGGAGAGCCGTCTATATGTTAGATATGAATGAGGAATATGAACATTATTTACGTATATCATTTCTTGGGAAAAATAACAACAACATTAACATTGAAACCATGGAGTGCAGCGAAGTTCTTAGATAAGAGATATAAGTCAAGTAGTTACTTGGGTTATTTATTCTATAAAATACTAACTTTGAATTATATATCAAGCCAAACCACTTCAATAATTCATTTTTAAATCGTTTTGCATACCGCGATTTAGAGGGGCTTCTCTGGATAGGGTCTGATAATTCCAGGTCAAAATTCAACACCTGAGATTAGGAGATAGCATTTAAAAACATAACTAACTATGTTATTGAGAACTGCTATGAAATTATACGATGGTGGGTCAAAGATTTTGTGGAATTTTAACCCTACGTCATGTTTTGGAATTTCATTCGAATTATATATGTACAATACTATACAGTATATGAATAAGACTTAAAAGAACACTTAAAAAAATCTCATTAAAACAACAACAAAAGCAAAACAACAACAACAACAGCAACAAGAAGCAAAAACAAACAAACGACAAAAATAAAAAGTTTTATTTGATGACGCTTTTTAAAGTGTTCCATATAAATACTGAAAGAATCATCTTCCCAAAAATAATTTGAGCCGCGTCATGACAAAACAAACATAGTGGGTTTGCGACCAGCATGGATCCAGACCAGTCTGCGCATCCATAATGTTCGCTTACCAACCCTATTACAAGTAGAGAAACTGATAGCTTACAGCATGAATCCTGATCTGGTCTGGATCCATGCTGGTCGCAAACCCACTATGTTTGTTTTGTTGTCACGCGGCTCATTTGTGTATAGAATAAGATATTCTATTATGTATTGTTAAATAATGCACGTTGTGTAAACCTGATGTCTTCATCCAGCAATCATATAACCAACAAATGTCGGCGTGAATTTCAACAAAGAGACGCATACATTTCATAACTTTACACAGTATATCAATTATAACTAAAACAAGAGCACAACAATTATTACATATTAATAGAACAAAGATATGCGAGTTATTCTGATTTCTGACAACACTCGCTATGGGATCAATAATAAAATTATACGCGAGAAATTAGAATAAAAAGAACCCAAAGCGTTCTTTAGTGATAAAAGATATGGAAACTCAAAATGTTTTTAACCAATGTTTATGAGTCTCCAGAGAGAGCTTGTTTTGATATGATATGCTATGTTTAATATGTATCCGGATTGTATAATACTGCCATAAATTCTTTAGATTTAATATGTTGTCTTGTATTTTCCTATCCATGGCCTGAATCTGAAGTGTTTTAAGGGCCCATTATGCCTCAATAATGTTATCACTTTTATTTCTCAAAATCTTTTTATTTTTGGTCTCTTGTTACAGTTTCAAGAAAAATAAATTCATTTGCCATATAAAGATTAACTACATTTTGCTTCCTTTTCTCTTTTGCAATTTGTATGATTACAGTGAATAAGAATTTTCTATGAAGTCAAAATACTACTTTCTTTACATTTTGCTACCTTTATGACACATTACTGCACGTTCAACGCTACTTTCTTCAGTTGTCAAACATCTAACTTTCTCTAAATCCGTAATTAAAACATTATTAAACACGTGTTTAAACATTTCTAAAAAATCAGAAATATATGGATTTCCGAGGCATAATGTGCCTTGAAGAAATGATTTCCCATTCAAATACTATCAGTATATTTTACATACATGTAGAACTTCTATGAATCGAACTCATGTATAAACCAAAAAGTTTCTTCAAAAAAACAAACAAACAAAAACAATTTGATCTCTTTGCTGTACCAGGATTTAAATTGTTATAATAATATACATGTATACTATGTTAAATGCTGGTTAAACTTTATGTTATGTTTACGGTCTGTTAATTTCTAGATCTAATCTTTAAACACGAACTTATTGATCAGACATCAATAAACTATTTGGATATATTTTAACGTATGCTATAACAATGATCATATGATGCTACGCTAAGTTCAGAAAGTTTTGACCTACATCAGTTATTCTTTTGCTCTTTTGCCGTACCTGAATCAATATGTACGCAATCATTACACGGACCATTATCACTATTATACAGAATCATCAATTATTATAGTTTAAAACTCATTGTAGAACCTAATTAGTGTATTATTCGATATAATCCGATTATTTCCGCCCTGAAATAATAGGATTCTACAACCACGTCTGACATATCACGCGAATAGTTACTTTGTCACTTTTTTTTACAAGATAAGTTTCTAATTGACAGTAACAAGATATCATTTCGTATTTATAAATAAGAATTTTGATTTATTTTCAGAGATTCTTAAATTCTTTGATGTATTCTATAATAGTTTCTAAGGTTTAAAGTAATGTAATAATA